ATATATATATATTTTTTAAATCTTAGGCTGCTCATCCATCTCTTTTCCTATTAAGCAGATGTTGATCTATAAGAACCAGAATCTTAGATTGATTTGTTTTTCCAGGTCCTAGAAGTTTTCCACCTTTGATACGTGCAGTCTTAGCCCTATTTTTTTGAATTTTTTTTTCTAGTGGAAAAGGTTTTCTTTTCCTTTTCTGACAAGTTTCTGCCAAATATATGTTTTAGCTCTTTGTGAGTCTTACTGTAATTTATTTGTTGAAGGCCATTTGTCCCAAGGAATTTCACTCCATTTTCTTACTTCACAGTAGTGCTTAAAGCACATGACCAAGAAGGATCTAGAAAAGATTCCATTCATAAGGTATTACTAGCTCTCTCTGTATTCAGTGAAGAAATACCTATCTCTCCCCAGATATGAAAATAAACCAATTCTTAAAAACTGCTAGTAAAGTTCATTTTCTTCATCTGAGAACTAGAGAGCAAGACAGGGTCTTAGAAATACCCTAATGTAGTGTTTCAACTTCCTAAAGCCACAACTGTCAGTAAGAAATTAATTTAAAAAGCAAAACAAAACCCAAATTCACAGCCATTGAGTTTCAACTCATGGTGACCTATGTGCTACACAGAGTCGAATGGGGTCCATGAGGCTTTCTTAGCTTGTAATATTTACGGCACCAGACAACCAGGTCTTTCTTCCACAAGAAACTTACTAGAAATCCGTCATGGCTCCAAACCCACAATCTGAAAACAAATACTCTTCAAATCTAATAGACTCATTATGTAGATTAGGATACAGCTTCAGAGAAGGATTTACCACAGCCGAGATGATCCAGAGACCTTGAGAAAGGGCCTGGAGCTCTGACTTGACATCAGTGCATGACTAAGGACCCAGATAACACAAGCTGAATCTTTCTGTACCAGCACAGCCTTAAACACATCACCTATGTCTCCTTGTGTTTGTTTCTCAGTCTGTAACATATGGATAATACTATCCCCTGCCTCAAGTCAGGAGGAAAAAGAAGACGAAAGAGTCGAAGCCTGTGACTCTTGCGTTGTCTTGGAGTTTTGAATACACATAGACTGCTGAAAGACCAAGCAAATCTGGCTTGGACGTGGTGCAGCTGGTGTGCTCCTGGGAGGCAAGAACTGGATACTTGACCATCCATACCTTGGACATATTAAAGGGCCAGTTGTTGGAAAATTAGACCAGCAAAGGAGAGGAAGATCCTCAACAAGCTGGATTGATAAAGAGTGTCAGCTTAAGCACAGAAAAAACTGTGAAGACAGTGAGGGACAGGGCAAGTTTTCCTGTGCAAGGTCACTGTGTGCTGGAATCAACGTGAGGGAGACGTGGCTAATTCCAACTCTGCTACTCTATGATAGAGTCGAACTCCCCAGTGAGTTTTCCAAGGTTTCAAATCTTTCTCCTGTCCTTGGTAGATTTGAACTATTGACTTTGTGGTTAAGAATTGAGTACTGTAATCACTACCTGACCAGGACTCCTACAAAGTAGTCAAAAGTTAATGTTCTAATTGTCAAGTGGGTGCCAACTCACAACTGAGCTTCCATCGGGTTTTCAAGGCTGTGAAGCGTGGGAAGGGATTACCCACCTTTCTTCCACAAAGCCCACGGTGAATTCAAATTACCAAAGAGACCAGGCTTTTGGCTCAGAGGCACAACTAAATGGTGGGAAGATTAAATGGGATTTGCCAATTCCAGAGGCCAGTAACTGACTTGTATTAATTTCATTTTTTTACTCACCTGTATATTTTATTGTATTAATTTTAATTTATTATTAATTTCACCACAAGGAAAGTTAACTGTGTAATATTATAGAATCCCAAATCCTATCCCCACACCCACCCAAGAAAATGACATGAGAAACAAAATCCAGCTTTTTGGATTGTTGTTGTTGTTAGGTTGGATTACAGCATCTTAATTTTTTAATATATGCTTTTTCTTGAGACACCTTTTCTATCCATACTCAAAACTCAGGATATTTTCTAAACCTTATTTTCAGGAGTTTGCTATGTTGCTTGGAATAATCCTTAAGATTTGAGACCAAAGAGGAATCAGGGTTAAAAGTGTTACCACTTGGGTATATTTTGTAATGTTGTTAAGTGCCGTCAAGTCATAGCGACCCTATGAACGGAAGACCTGAACACTTTATAACTTTCATCGTTTCTCCACGTTCATAAAGTTTCTGGAGGCAAGCTATTTCGAAAGTGGATGCCACTCCTGCTTCCAAGCTTGTTTTAATCTGGGAGCTCCTATATATTTTGTAATAGAATTGTTTTTATTTTAAAAATTTTTATATTATATAATTAATATAATTGTAAGATATGATACAATTGCTATTCTTTTTCTTATCTCTCTCTTATTGTCGGTGAATGATAACTGATTCATAGCAGACCCTTCAGTGGACAGCCAGAGGTTGTGCACTGCACAGGATAAGTTTTCTTATCTTTCTCCTTTGGAGCTGCTGGTGGATTTGAACCACCTGCCTTTAGGTTGGCAGCCCAACTCCCTACTTACTAACTAGGCCACCAAATTCCCTGATTTTTTTCTGACAAGAAACATATTTTCTTTTTCTTCCTCTATTTGAACTTCTCCGTGGGCAAGCTGCCCTCACCTAATGTCAAAATTTCTTGCAATATGAAAGTTAAATTATGGGGTGAGATAATAAAAATAAATGCAATGACAGGAAATTAGTAGGCCTTAGTAGGCAGTGGCATTCCACACCTGGTAGAACAGACCACACTGATGTGATTTGAGGTGAGCTTAACCGCTGTTTGAAAATAGCATTTGCTCAGAAGAAGCAGATGAATGGAGTGCCGTGAGGTTGTTTAAGGGGGAAATGAAATCTAGACCTTTAGATCCCACATTTTGATCTCCTTGTTCTTCTGGTTGAGATGCCTTGTTGGAGGAACTGGAGAACTCCACCCTCGAGGACAGTGAGGACTATTCCAGCTCAGCCTTGCTTCCGCAGGACCAGCATTCCAGAAAGGAGACCACGCTTGCCAAGACGTCACAGGTTCTGACCTCTGAGGATGACTCAACTCCCTTGCAGGTAACTTTTCCATTATTGTAGCACCTTGAATATAGATGTTTAAGTGCACGTCTCAAAAATACTTATATCTAAGGGAACTAACTCGGTCTTATAAAGACAAACAATGTGTAAGACCGTTATTGGAAAACAAGTATGAGGATCCAAAGTGGGGCGCAGGGCCAGAGGGGTGAGGATGGGCTGTGAAGAGTGTGTGGCGCTTAATCAGTGGGTCACACAATTTGATGGGTGGAGGGAGGGGTGGTAAAGGGAAGGTGAAAGATCTGGCGTGAAAAACAATGTACAGGAACTTTGTAAGTAAGCCAGTATTAAACAATAAAACAAACAAAGTACTTCTATCTCACGTAAAATGAGATTAAATGAAAATTCTATATTTAAGGAAGAGAAAACACCTCTCAATGATAATTTAAAGATTGAGTTTTTTGGAAGCAATCTCCCACCCCCAAAACCTCAAATCCACTACCCTTGAGTTGATCCCATCTCATGGCAACCCTATTGGTGGTGGTTGTTGTTGTTGTGGTTGTTGTTATGTGCCACTGAGTTGCTTGTGACTCATAGCGACCCTATGTACAAGAGTTCTAAACTCCTTTCTATTCTGTGCCAACCTAGCCATCTCAAATGCACTCATTCCCACCACTCCACTCACAGAATTGATCCAACTCATCAAGGGTCTTCCTCTCCTTCGCCACCCCTCCACTCTGCCACACATGATGTCCCTCTCCAAGCACCAGTCCCTCCTTGCAACATGCCCAAAGTAGTAGAAATGCACCCTAAGATTTCTAAAGCGGTATGTCTTTACAGAAGAGCACTGCTTCTGAGGGCTCCAAGTGCTGACTTTCTAGTTAGCAACTCAACACTTAATCACCACACACCACCAACCCTTCTCTATTTTTTGAAAGAGAGAGGAGAATTGAAAAAAATTGTCAAAGAAGTATAAACTTTTGAGAAGTACATTTTTCTGAGAGACATTGGACTCACAGCCAACACCTTTGGTACCAGCGTCAGGAGATCAGGAGACATACTGCTTTGGGCAAGCTGTCAGGGACTTCTCCAAAATACCAAAAACAATGATGTCAGTTTGAGGCATGGTCTTTTCTATTACTTGCAACCAGAATGGTCCTTGGAGGCAAAGATCACAAAGCTTTCTCTCATATACTGTGGATATGTTGCTAGGAGAGACTGTTCTTTGGAGAAGGACATCATGTTTGGAAAGGCACTAAAAAGTGATAATGTCAGTTTAAAAATTAATTCAAGCCTGATTCAAGCCAGGTAATTTCATTACTTGCTATGCATCTGAAAGTTGAACAATGAATAAGGATAAAATAGGGATAACAGATGAAGAATTGATGTCTTTGAGATGTGTTGGAGAAGAGTGCTGAATATGCCATTGATTGGTAAAAGAACAAACAAGATTTGTCTTGGAAAAGGTGCAGTCAGAGTGCTTCTTGAAGGGAAGGATGGTGAAGCTTTGTTTCTCGTTCTTTGCACATGTTGCTAAGAAAGGCTCTTCCTTGGAAAGGGAGATCATGCTTGGAAAGGTGGATAATCCACAAAAGAGAGGAAGATACCCCCCCCACCCCAACAAGGTGGATAGGAACTGTGACTACAACAGGGAGCTCAAGTGTATCAGAGATACAGGATAGGACAGGATTCAGAGCTGCTGTTCATAGGGTCCCTATTCGTTACACTTGACTCATAAACATTTAACAACACATCATGTACCACTGAGTCAGAACCGATTTATAGCTGGCCCTCCAGTCAGTTTTCAGAGGCGATAAATCACACAGGAGGAGACTGCACATCTTTCTTCCATGAAGCAGCCAGTGGATTCAAACCATGTACCTTTGGGTTGGCAATGTAACCCCTTACCACCAGCGCTTCTAAGGAAGGAGTGGTAGTGAGCAGAAGAGAGCCTCATCCATTTGGGATATCTTGATGTTGTCTATGCAACAGAGATGCTATTGCAGCTTGGTTAGAACTGCACTCAATAAGGGGAGAGGTCATCTGGGGAGGCCTTTTTGGGGTGACTATCTGGGGTCACTACCTTCCAGGCTTTATTTTCTGCTGATACATTAGGAAAGGACATTTTTAGTATACACAGATATGGTGAAGCTCTAATGAACCAAGTCACATGAACTGAACTCATGAGCAATGATGTGTGAGAACAGTGACACTTTGCAGGGAAAATTGATTTTCCATTCCATAATTGATACATGTTATGTTTCATGACACTGATTACAATTCTCATATTCTTCTTCCTTCCTTTCATTTCCCATCTTCCTTTCCAATCCATTCCTGCTTTCTGAGATTGTTTACTAATAGCATTTGACTGGAAATGCAACACCAAGACAAAATCCAAAATACATGTTTCATTTTCTCAAGAAAGTTGGTGATGAATTTAGTCCAAGTTTAATTAAATTCCTCTAACTAGTACAAAATGTCAACTCTGGGAGCAATATCATCGTCCCTTTGGATCTCTGAAGACACAAATATGCTGATGTCATATTTGTGCTTAATTTTCCACTTCAAAAGTTAATACTTAGGGGGCTCTGACAGCTTAGTGGCAAGAAGCTGCACTGCAATCCCAAAGGCGTGTGGTTCGAATTCACTGGTTGTTCAGCTGGAGAAGGAGGGGCAATCATCTCCTGTGCCAGTTGGATCCGACTAGACAGCACACAACAACAACAAGTTAATACATAGTCTAAGAAGAAGGCACCCTGACGTGGCACTCAGCTTCTGTAACTGCCGGAGGGGGTTTACACATTTTTGCAAACATGCCTTTTCATTTGGCCCAAACCACTCACCTAATATGGTGGTGTTTCAATGCCGAATTTTCTGGTAATTGAAAATATAGGGAGTTGGAGATGATTAATGAGTTAATTCCCTCTGCAACAGCTAAATGCAGTCACTTTGATCTCAGTGCCACCAGAAGCATTAGTTAGAAAATATTTTCATTCCAAACTGGAAAAGGGTGGTGAGAATGGGGAATAGAGGAGAACCTGAAGCATATGATCACTGTCATTGAAGTGAAACATGGAGAAATTATTGAGACAGTGTTTTTTTATTATGTATATTCTCAGCACAATGTACTTGTAAGTGGGTTTAGTATTCACAAAATTCATGACTGTAATAAAATATAGTGCCATATTGTAGCAATTAAAATATAGCTTTAATTTAGGTTGAATTAATTTAAAAAATCAATTGAGAATCTTTAGTCATATACTGAATAAATTAGTCTGACTATTCAACTTTTGAAGCTTTCAGCAAGTTACAACTGTGGTGTATGATTTTATTTTTCCTACTAAAGTCAGGAAGGAAGGAAACAATTTTTTTTTAAAAGATGAACTCTTGAATAGTCCAATTCTGTAATTCAAATCATGCTTTGGAAAATTTTTTACTTTGATTGGACTTTTAATTTTTATTGCATAAATTGATATTTTCCAACAGGATGGAATGAAATGATGAATGCCTGCAATTTTGCAGTGCCTAAATTTCATGAAATATTAAAAAGAATCACAATTAATCGTATACAACTGTTTATTGAAGAAAGTTGCTCTGGGCTGAGACAGAAAGAAGCACCTGGGAAAATATTGATGTTGAAATATTTATACATTTTGAAGTAAAAGAATTGATAGTATGTTTCACTTAGCAGAATTTGCTCTGATTTTACATCTTTATCAGCAACCAGAGCGGATTTGTTTTCTCAATTAAAAATAATACAATCTACAAGCGTCCATAGCTTCAAGTATATTAGCCATAAAATGCACCTTTGCGGATTGAAATTTGATGAAACTACTAGGACAATAGTGAAAAATAAGAAAACATGTCTAAAGAAAAATTTCCACAGTGTAGTATTAGATAAGGCAATCGTGAATAATCTTTTGGTTTTTGTTGTTGTTATGTGCTGATGAGTTTTCTGTGACTCCTAGCGACCCTATGTACAACAGCCCCAACTCCTGCTATATATTCTATGCCAATCTTATTGTCTCTGACACACCTTCCCCCATTACTATGCTATTTTAAAATTTTCAGATCCTCAATAGAAAAAGTTTCCTTTTCCCCCCCAGTATTTATAATGAGGTGTCATTTTGAAATATTTTAGAAAAATTGTGTCTTAACAATGAGAACGGATAAAATTGTTTAAAAGGTCCATCAACATGGTACACCAAATTTTTGATCAATAAATACAGAATAACCAAGTCTGTTGCCACTGAGTTGATTCCAACTCATGGAAACCGTATCTGATAGAGTGAACCACTTCACTGCATGTTCTTGGCCGTAATCTTTCTAGATGCAGAGACTACCACGCTGTTCTACAGCACAGAACCACTGGGCAAATGCAAAGGGCGATCTTTAGGTTTGCATCTGAGAGTCAAGAGATTGTATCACCCAGGAGCCCTTGGTCAATGAACACATACTTCAAGAATTTATTCTTGTTACTTGGTACCTTCAAGTTGATTGTGACTCATCATGATCCAGCACAGGGTAGAAGAGATGTTCAATGCTCTATCTTTCCACAAACAGATTGCCAGCCAGCCCTTTCTTCCAAAGGCACTTCTGGGCAAGTTAGAACCATCAGTCTTTCAGTTAGTACGCAGTGCAGGGCTTAACCATTTGTGCCACCCAGAGAGTCTTTTATATATTTTTTTTAAATTTTAATGAACGTTTATAGAAACTTAGGGTTTCCAGTCATTCATTGTTGTACTTTTCTCCCTGCCCAAACCCACTCCCCCAATTTACTCCCAGAGAGTCTTTTCAAATGTATTTCATCATTTTTAGTACCCTCCTTTGCTCTCAGTTTGGACAATACATGATGTGATCAACATAACTACAATGGGCCTGGCCTATTAATTCTCTGCCCTGTCTCATTGGTTCGCTCGGCTCTGGCCTCCATGCTGTTCTGTAGACACTCCAGGGTGCTCTGGCCGCTGTGTTAGCTACCTGGACTAAAAGGCCCCCACATAGCTGCATATTTCCCTCACTTCTCATAAGTTCTTGTTCTCTCTGAAGACATCTTTGATCATCATGTTGCTATTTGCTATCTTTCTCCTATTTCCTATCTCTTGCACTGGTGGCCTAGTGGCAAGAAGCTATGCTCCAATCCTGAAGGCATGTGGCTTGAGGCCACCAGCTGATTCATGGGAGAAGGAGGGGCAGTCTCCTCTTGTGTAATTAACTGCCTCTGAAAGCCCAGCTGTGGACACAGAAAACAATGATTAACATTATGAAGAATGGGAACCCCAGAATTTAATTGTATTCATGTGAAATCTATACATATACCAAGAATCTGTTGTCTGAATGGAGCAAAGGACACTGCATGGTTTAAAATCAGAAAGACTGTGAACCAGGGATGCATCCTTTCTCCATACCTATTCAATCTGTATCCTGAGCAAGTAATTTGTGAAGGAAATATAGAGGAATGTGGCATCAGGATTAGAGAAAGAGTCCTCAGCAACCTGCATTATGGAGATGACACAACTTTGTTTGCTGAAAGTGAGGAGAACTTGAAATGCAGAAGATCAAGGATTACGGCCTTCAATATGGATTACATCACCATATCAGGAAGACAAAACTCCTTACCAACAACATGATAGAAGGAGGAAGGACTGAAGTTGTCAATGCTTTAATCTTACTTGCATCAACAGTCAACATCCTTGGTACCAGCAGTTAGTAGATCAGGAGATACTTCTCCAAAATACTGGAGAGTAATGATGCGAGTTTGAAGACTAAAGTGTACCTGATTCAAGCCATGGTCTTTTCTGTCACTTGCTGTGCTGCTGAGAGGGGGATAAAGAACAAGGATGACAGAAGAATTAATTGATGCCCTTGAGCTGTGGTGTTAGAGAAGAAGATTTAATATCACATGGACTGCCAAGAGAACACACAGATATGTCTTGGAGAAGGTGCAACCAGAGTGCTCCTTGGAGGCAGGGATGGCAAAGCTCTGTCTGTCACACTTTGGACATGTTGCTAAGGGAAGGTATTCCTTGGAAGGGGACACTCTGCTTGGAAAAGTGGAAGGACAGTGAAAGACAGAAAGACCCCCAACGAGGTAGATTGATATAGTGACTGCAGCAATGGTCTCAAGTGTGTCAGAGATGATGAAAATGGCACAGGATTGAGAGGACAGGGTTCAGGTCTGTTGTTCATAGGGTTTCTCTGAGTCATGCTCAACTCAACAGCACCTAACAACATGGTTTAGTGTGTAACATGTTGGCCTGCTAACCTAAAGGTCATAAGTTTGAGTCCACCAAATGCTATGCAGAAATGAAGATAGGCTGTCTCCTCCCAGAGTCATGATGAGTTAGAAATGACTCAAGGCTGGTGGCTTTGGGTTCCATTGGATTCCTTGATTAATTGCACATATTAATCTACTCATTTTCTGTCTTTCATCACTAATGCACAGGTATCCATAGAGATAATTTTTATTTCTTTGCTTTGTTTTGGTTCTTGACCGTTGCATTCTCACGTCTAGCACAAGACAATCATTCAATCAGTATTTGTCCAGTGAATAAATGAACTGATGGCCAATCACCCATTGTTACACATTACATTATGCTTTATAATCCATGCATTGTTTTGGTGTGCTGAATCCAATCACCTTGTGGTCTTAGCCTGGGTAGCCCTCTGTGTAGTTCAAGGGCTTTTGCTCTGACCCCTACATATAGGTTGTTTGACGGTTCCTGTCTGAGCCTGGTCTGCTTCCCTATTTCAATGCTCTCTGGGTTGGGATAGTTGGGCACACTATTATTCATTCACTTGCCAACTACTCTATTCTATTTAGAATTTGAACTTTCACTGTAGAATAACTGGTATTCCTCTGCCATATCAAAAGATATGCCAACTAGCAGTCCCCTTTGGGGCTTGAAACCATCCTTTAACTCTACAAAAGCACTGATTCTTGTAACAGAAACTCATTCTTTGTTCTTCCCTGTGACTTGTATGTCTTAGGCGCAGCTGGTGTATACTACCAATGTCCAGGAGCCTAATGTGTACAGGTACTTTTCTTTTTTATCAATCCTTTAAGAATTAAGTTTTTTTTTAAAAAAAAAAAAATTAAGTTTTTAGATAATTGTTAGCATCTCATGTCTGGTCAGTAATGTGCTTTGTGATAATTTATTATTAGAACTTCCACCACCCCCTCCTCTTTCCGCAATCCTTGAGCGGAGCTGGGCCTCTGCCAAGCTGACCTGGCACCAGCTCAAGGTGCCTGGCTTTGAGGTCTGCTGTTAAGGCTGCTGGGTCCTGCCATTTCCTCCACCACCTGAAAAAGTATCAACAACCTGGGAATCACCACAGGTGGTTTGGCCTTGCTCTTTTAACTATTATGTTCCATTTTGCAGAAGGGGAAACACACCTGGAGAAACTGAAGATTTCAACACTGTCAGGGCAAGGATCAGGGCTGGAAAGAGACAGTGGGTCATTGTGGCAGATTAACGAATGTGTACTCCTTCAAATGTGTGTGCGGACTTTCCTTATCTGCTCAAACCCTGTTTAGTGGATGAGATGACTTCCCATCAGTAAAGTGAAATATTCAAACAGATTCCTTATTAAATCAGTCCTATAGGCCAAAGCAGAACCAACAGTCTGCAAAATTAAAGAGCTTCATTTCTCTTTCTTTTCTCAATTACAACATGAAGTTTTTAAAAAATGTCCCAGAAAACTTTCTGTGAAACAAGGGGTTTAATACATAATACAGACTTGATCTTAGGAAAGACTCTCAAACCCATGTAGGCTCTCTCTGGCTCACAGGGGCCCTATAGGATGGAATAGAATTGCTCAAGGGGTTTCTGAAGCGGAGACTTTTATGGAAGCAGATGGCCACCTCTTTTTCCTGTAACGTGGCTGGTGGGTTTGAATCACCACTTTTGGTTGGCCTCAGAGAGCCTCCACCACAGCTCCAAAAGAAGTATTATGCCAGGCCTTGTTTGGTTTCCCCATTGGAACAAAGAGCACGTAGGCACGATGTGAAAGGACTAAAGCACTAGCTCTTCAAACTTTCCACTGGAGGATGTTTTCTCCCTTGATCGCAGTGAGGCGATTTTATTCAGACATATATTTATTCCAGCTCCAGGAAGCCACTTAGAGAGCATGCTTCTGTTTCCCCTGATATCTCAATCCACACACACACACACACACACACACACACACGTGCACACACACATCAAAACAACAACAAATGAAACTGACACACAATAGGCACTTGGTAAACATGATTTCTTAAACTTTTGGAAACAGAGACGCTGCTGGCTTCGTCTCTAGGGAGTTGCACTGCTGACCTGACAGCGGCTCCTCTCTGGCAATTCAAGTCTGCCCATGACTCCTTGAGACAAATATGGGCAACCTCCTCCCCTGCTATCTACATACACACAAGGAAACTCCCCAGGAGGACAGTCAGCTACGAGGCTGGCTGTGCTCCATGACAATGCCTTTGAAAGGGATTTTGGAGAAGATTTTGATAAAAATACAAATGAGCACAGAAAATTCAATCATGTAAATATGCCTTTCCAATAGCCGTTTTTCCTGTGTATCTAGAATTATGACCAATACCAGTACTATTGCCAATGTTCATGCTAACATTCATCTGCCTTCCCCTTTGCCTGGAACTATGAATCCTTAGCTATTTCCCATCAGACCTATTCCTCTTTCTCCCCTCACTCTTATTTTTATTCTGAGGGATAGAAGGGGTTGATCCCTGAAAGTTGGATTTTCCAGAGACTAGAAGGTAAGAGTTTGGAAACTAGAGTTTTTCCTTTGTTAGTCTCTCTGTTTCTACATCAGTGTCAGTAGCAATAGTGTCTGTTATTGGAACACATGATTCTTCCATCTCCCACCAGAAAAACCAGTCTTGGAGAGAGGAGTACGAGTGGAAAAAGCAGTTTTATGATACATGCTAGCAGGCCTTTTGTTCATAGGGTCGCTAAGAGTCATGCTCAGCTCGAAGGTAATCAACAACAACAATAGAAGAGACAGGGGGTATGAACACTCCAAATCTATCTCAGTAAGTGAAGGTCCTGAGGAGCTATTAACAGGCTAAGTTAAGGGCATGGGGATGTTGTTGCTGTTGTTGTTATTTGCCTTGAATTGCCTGCAGTTCATGGTGACTGTAGCGACCCTAAATGCCATCAAGTCTGCTATGACTGATAGAGACCCTGTGAACAAGAGATCCAACCCACGTCTTATGCTGCGTCATCCGACCTCATGATCTCAGTCATGCTCAAGCCCAGTGTAGTAATAATCACTGCATTGAAACATCTCATTAAGGACCCTCTTCTCTCTCTCTGACCCTCTGCCTTACCCAGCCTGAGGTCTCTATTCTAGGACTGGTTCCTCCTGAAAGTATGCCCAGAGGAAATGAGATGAAGTCTCACCATCCTTGCCTCCAGGGAGCATCCTGATTATACTTTCTTCAAGGCAGATTTATTTGTCCTTTTAGCAGTCTCTGGTATATTTAATACTTCTCTCTCTGAGACCACAATTCAGAGGCAGCAATTCTCATTCTATCATCCTTATTCATTGCCCAATTTTCAGAAGCATGGGAAGCAGTTGAAAATACCGTAGCTTAGATCAGGTGCACCTTAGTCTTGAAACTGACATCGTTGCTTTTTAGAACTTGGGAGAAGTCCTTGATAGCAGATTTCCCTAATACAACATGCCTTTTAAATCCTTGACTGCTGCTACCATGGGTGTTAATTGTGCATCCTAGTAAAATGAAATTGTTGATAATGTCAATCTTTTCTCCATATGTCATGACCTTGCCTGTTGGTCCAGTGGTGAGCATTTTTGTTTTCTTGATGTAAATTGTTCGCTTGAGATGTAATAATACCTGTTGAAGACTGTAATATTAAAGAAAACCCCTAGGCAGCAGTTTTAGCACATGGATGTGAGGTTTCTAAAAAGCTGTGGCCATTTTGAGTCTCCCTGGAAGAACTGTTTGCATCAAGTCCAGGATCCTCATATCTTTATCTTTTTCCTTTTATATAGTACCAAATAATCAATTTTTCTTGGCTTTTTGCAACACTGTAATAGTTAATGATTTGTGTTGGGTTTTTTGTTTGTTTTTCACCTATAACACTCCAATTTAAAAAAAGAACAAAATTTTAAAAATCCACAGCTGTTTAGTCTATTTTAACTCATGGACCATTCGGGACAGAATAGAACTTCCCAACAGGGTCTCCAGAAAGGGGCCCAGGTGGCAGAGCATATTACTTGTTGGGTTGCTAACAGAAAGGTCAGTGGTTCAAATCCTCCAGCTACTCTGAGATGAAGCAGTCCATGTCATTAAGGTTTCCAGCCTCAGGAACCTGATGGTAGGCCCCCATGAGCTGGAATCCACTTAAAGGCAATGTGTTAGCTTTTGTTCATTTAATATTTACAGAGACAACTACTGCTTCTTTCTCTTTCACTTTGTACCACAGCCCATTTGGCTAACAGCTGGACTCTTTATCACTGAGATGCCAAAGGGCCTTTCTTGGCCCCTAAGCTCTGGCATTTCTAACTCACCTGTGTTCTTTTGGCCTACAGGAAGTAATGACTCCCTTCCATGGCTAATCTCTGGAGTGTCTCCTGTTCTTTTGTTTCACTTTTTAGCAATCTTACAACTTGTGTAATCAAGTTTCTGTATAAAATTTTCCATTTGCTCATATGATTGATATTTTCCTGGCTAATTTACTGAAACCATTATATAGACCTGTGCAGGAAAGAGATATGAAGTCCAGGTGACTGCGCAAGTTAAGTTTGTAATAAAACCACAGTCAAACAAAATGGATCCTGACATTTAGGGACGTGGCCTTAATTGCACAGCGAACTTGAAGGCTCGCCTTTTGAGACCACCAGTTGTTCCATGGAAGAAGGATTGGCAATCTCCTCTTGTGAAAACACACCAGAGGGTGGGCTCTGAGTCTACAGTACATAACAACCACAATGATAGGACAGCATAGGATTTGCCCGTATGGTTTCCAAGGCTGAGTGTCTTTATGGAAGCAACTGCCAATCTCTCTCTCTCAATGCAGTTGATGAGTTCAAACTGCATACCTTGTGGTTAAAATTGCCACCAGGGCTCCTTAAATATGTAATAAGCAAAAACTCCATTATTGTGGAATTGATGCTGACTCATAGAGACCCTCCTTCAGGTTTCTGTAGTTGTAAACCTTCTTTTTTTTTTTATGGTGAGAAAAATTTGTATTTAGAATTAGCCAGCTGGACTCAGTTTAGATGATCCCGATTTTGTTGGCAACATTCAAAGCATCATAATCAGGAGCAAGTGGAACATAGGCCTTCTTCTCTCCATCAGGCCTAATCAAAGTGTTGACCTTGGCCACATCAATGTCATAGAGCTTCTTTACAGCTTGTTTGATTTGGTGCTTGTTGGCCTTGACATCCACAGTGAGCACAAGTGTGTTGTTACCTTCTGTCTTTTTCATGGCTGAAAAGGGGAAGTTTGATGATGGCAGAGTGGTCAAGCTTGTTTCTCCTGGGGTCGCTCTCCTGGGGGTATTTGAGCTGCCTTCAAAGTCTCAGCATCTTAGGCCGCTGGAAGGTGGGTGATGTGCGGATCTTCTTTTTTTTGTGGCTGTGGATGCCCTTCAGGACACCTTCTCAGCCTTTAATGTCTTTGCTTTGGCTTCAGTTTTGGGAGGGGCAGGGGCTTCCTTCTTCGCTTTCGGCACCATCTTCATTGCTGTAGTTGTAAATCTTAATGAGCAGAGACTATCCACCTTTCTCCTAGGGAAAAACTGGTGGATTCAAAGAGCTTTCAGACAGCACCACAATAAATATCACACCACACCCCCAGAACTCCTTACAAGTATGTTATCAACTTGTACCTGGAAAGTGATGCTCAAAGTATGTGAGATGGAGCTTCAAAATCCCAGCCTCCAAGGAGAAATTTGGTTTCACCCTCTCTAAGAAAGACCTGTTTGCTCTCTTGGTGGTCCACAGTATGTTCAAGACTCTTCTCCAGCACCACAATTCCAAAGCATTGATTCTTCTTCTGTCATCCTTAGTCACTGTCCAGCTCTCTGATGCATAGCAAGTAATTGCAAAGACCGTGGCCCGAATCAGGTGCACCTTATTGCAGCCGCAAGTGAATAATAAGTTATAAAAGCCCCCTTTACATAAACCAAAATAGTAATTTTTGTGAGAACAGTGATGAACGAGTCATACAAAATATCAGAGGAATACGTGGAGGCAAAACATCCATAATAAAACTTCCACAATAAAGTCCCTACTTGAGAAGTCTGGGTCCTTTAAATGCACCTCTTGTGATTCATATGATTAAAACCTCTGAGTGATGGACTCCTTTGTTGGTGATGACATAGGAAGGCACCTTTCCAATCCATTTTCCCCCTGTGCTTTTTTGCAAACCTGGAAGCCCTTTGCCATTGAGTCTGTATGGCGAGGACTCTACAGGGCAGGCTAGAAAGCTGCAAATCTTACACAGGCAAATTTGACTATGACCCTAAGCTTATAAAAGATGTCTGAGCAAGGGGGCTAAAAGACTCAACATACACAGCTGTTGCAATTGCCTTAAATTTATAAACTTTAACTAAGCTCTTGCTTAGATAAGACTGCAATATCTTTCTCCTGCAGAGAAGCAGGTGTGTCCAGATCACCAAATTTTCACTTACCAAACACTTAACTCTCTCTCTCTCCCCTCGTTTCTCCTGTCCTTCTATCCTTCCTTCCTTCCTTCCTTCCTTCCTTCCTTCCTTCCTTCCTTCCTTCCTTCCTTCCTTCCTTCCTTTAAAATGAATTACATTAATGCTTTCCCTTATACTGAACCACCCTTGAATGTCTGAGATAGGCCCTATCTAGCTAGGTATAATTTTTAAAGATACATTTCTGCTCTGTTTTTAGGTCGCTTTCCACACACATGCACTTTTGTCTCTTTCGTCTTGGTACCTGGGATACTGCTAGATTCATAGTAGGAGTTGGGTAATTCTAGATACTGTAACTAGTTTACCTTTTTGATAGTCTCTTATTTTATTGATTTATGCTCTTTTTAATAAAAAAGGAAGTTCTGGTGGCACGTTGTTGTTATTAGGGGCAGTGAAGTTGAGTATGACTCATAGAGACCCTATGAGCCACAGATCTGAAGCCCGCCCTGTTCCACACTATCCTCACAATCTCTGACACACTCAAGCCCATTGCTGCAGTCACTGTGTCAATCCACCTGGCTGAGGGTCTTCCTCTCCTTTACGGACCCTCCACCTTTCCAAGCATCATGTCTCTCTTTTAGGAATAACCTCTCCTAGCAACACACCCAAAGTATGTGAGATAAAGCTTCATCATCTTTGCCCCTGAGGAGGGTGCTGGTGCCATAGTGTGAAGGAAGTTACACTGCTAACCCAAAGGTGGCCACGCCTTTCTGGTGGTTCAAATCCACCTGCTGCCCCTGGGGAGAAAGACGAGCAATCACCTCCTATGTGATTTACAGTCTCTGAAACCCCACTGCAGGGTCAGCTGTGCAACCAATGGCGGGGGGGGGGGGGGAGAGAAAATGAATTTACACTTTTCTCTCTTCTGTTTAGTCAAATGAGATGCTTTTGTTTTTTAAGATTCCTGACTTGGAAGCTGTGTTTATTTAGTAATTTTTATTTTTCAATAATTACACTTATGTCTCTGTATGTATTCCTTCCAAAGGCATTTAGCCTTCAATCTGAGGGGTGTGTATGAGTAGTGTTATCACTATCTCTAAATCGTCTGAAATCTTTTTTCCCCCTTTCATTCAATAGTTCTAGTTTAGAATATAATATTCCTAATTTATAATATAGTATTTATAGAATAATAAAAATATTACTTTTTAAAAGTAACTGGATTGATTTTTTTTTTCAGTGGTTATTTTGTACTTTTATTTGCTGATAACTAAGAGTTTGGCCTAGATAATTTACTTTCTGTAATTTATTAATGTTTATTTGTATTCTCAGGGTAAATGTTTCTAGTTGTTGCACAAGTATTTCAGTAAAATCCGTGATTGATTTTTTTGCATCTAAAGTGTTATTTATCAGTAATTTATTCGCAATTATATGTATATAAAGCCAAGATCATGTTCATTATCTAAATTTTCTATCTTAGGGGTCTACAGAGTCCTTCAGAAAAGCGTTTTTTGTTGTTATGTCCTGTTGAGTCAGCATTGTGTCACAGCTGACACACGAGTGAGTTTTCGGAGGCCGTAACTCACCAGTTGTCTTTCTCCTGAAAATCACCAGGAGATGGCCTGTCTTTCTCCTGAGGAACAGCCTGTAGATTCAAACCACATGCCTTTGGGTTGGCAGTGCAATGACTTCCCACTAAATCAACAGAGAGAACATATGCTCTGTGGGCCAAGGAGTCTCTGTCACAACTCTGCTTTGCAGGAAGCAGATGTGGATTACCTACAAATAAATGAGTGTGGCTGGATTTGGCCCAGGGCCTTCCAGTTGCCGATGCCCACTCAGTCAGTGTTCTAACTTACCTGTTGTCTTTGATCTGACTGTAACAGAGCAAAGACATAGTATTTCATAATAATAACTAGAAAATGATATTAAAATGAAAAATACAGGGCCATGGTCTTAAAGCTCCAAGGCCTCTTTGTATCTAGTTGCTAGGGAGAAGGGTTTATCCATTACCTGGATAACTCCTTCCTCTATGAGAACAGTGTCAGGTTTTGATGTGACCAGAGAGAGAAATGAAGACAAAAGGCAGAGAGAACTTGTTCTGGTACTCTGGGAGCTCTACTGGCCTAGTGGGAAGAAGCTGCACTGCAATACTGAAGGCATGTGGTTCAAATTCACCACCTGGTGTGTAGGAGGATGGATAATCTCCTCGTTTGTAATCAACTGCCTCTAAAAACATACTGGAGGGTCGGCTATGAGTTGGTTCCAACTCGATCGTACATACCACCACCACCAACACAACGCCTATTTAAAAGACATTGTATCTGGTTTTAGATAAAAAATCTGAGGGGGCAAAACATTTGTGTTTTTGCTATTTGACTTGTGACTTGGCATTTGAATTTTTAATTAATATGATCTGTTGTTTTCTCCTCTAGTGAGATCCAAGAACCTCCGAAATCTCAAGCACTTCCTAAAACCTCAGCAGCAGCCCAGCTGGATGAGCTCATGGCGCACCTGTGTGAAATGCAGGCCAAGGTGAGCACAGTCCCAAACACTGGGTCCTCCAGGGCCCAGCACAGCTGTGGTTTATCTTTCCGGAATCAGCCAGCTCAACAGAAGAATCCTTCCATGTTGTCATTTCATTTCCCCAAACTAGCTACAACCCACTGTGCGAGCTTAACTTTGTGCTGTGTATTATCTAGACACAAAAGGTAATATGAGACAAGCCCCAGTCTCAAAGCGCTTGGAGTGTGTTTGGTAAAAACAAGGCTTGTGTTTCTGCAACACTTATAGACTAAAAAGCAAATGCTTTACAAAAATATGTGGAAAAATAATACAGATGTTAAGGGGCTGTGAAGATTTTATAGAGAGGTGGAACTACACTTGGGGTGAATTCTGAAGGATGGGTTGGTTGGGATGTAAAGAAGTGGAAGGGGTGGTCCTTTATTTGGGATGAATCCTGTGATCATAGACAACAAAGGCCAGGTGATTTGTGGACGGGCTGTGAGAGAGACCGGCCCAACAGGGCAGAGAACACCAGTGGGCAAGCCGAGACAGGCCAAGGGAGATCAAAGGGTGGCTCTGAAAGAATGAGGCGTCCTAAGCCCCATATGGAGATGAAACCTGCCTCCTTTGTGCTAACCTCAAGAGAACGAATGTCAAGCTCACGTGGTCTGGCAGGGAATGCAAATCAGATCAAGTAGCTTAAGGATTTATTAAGGGAGATGGATCCTAGGATGCTTAGACTAGTTGTTGTTGTCAGATGCTGTTGAGTCGACAACAACTCACAGGGACCTGATGAAAAACAGATCTGAACCTCACTGTCTTAGAATAAAGGACTTCTAAATCCGGAATATTTGATAAACACAGAGGAAGTGGCCGTGAGATCATTTCATGGCGGTGTTTAAAAATGTGCACCACTGGGAAAGGCAGGGAACTTATCTTTATAGCCCATCTTTGAACTTCCATTATCTATTGCAGATCTTGGCACATACTAAAACAACCCTATTAAAATGAATAAACCCCACAAACATGTTTCTATTAATGACTGATGGTCTTTGAGGAGTGAGGTCTACAATAAGCTGGATGGATTGACTCATTGAACTGAGTATCTATAAAGTTGTAAAAATCAAGGCATTTTAATTATATTTTTTAAATTGATTTAGCATTTTCCTGCTTTATTAAATTTTTTCATTAAACATGTTTTTTTTTTAAAAATATCATCTGAGTGTTCATATTGTTCAGAAATCGAAAGCACAAAAAGCATGCTGGTTTTGTGTGCCAGCAAGTTCATCCTGATTCAGAGCCACCCTACAGGAGTAGGGTTTCCGGGGCTGTGAGCTTCACGGGAAAAGGTCATCGATGTCCAGAGCCTTTGGATGAGCTCAAACTGCCAGCTTTAGGATTAGCAGTCCAGTGCTTGTCCACTGCGCCACCAGAGCTCCCATCACCTCTGTCCTCCAGCTAGCTGACCACCTCCCTCCCCTACCTAGAGGTAGTTGACGTTACCTGTTTCTTACCTATGGAGAAGCATTCTGGAGTCTACAAGCAAATGGATACAGATGCAAATGTAGAGATATTATAGCTGTACATAGTAAGGGGAGCTCTAAGTGATTTAGTGGTAAGGAATCGTGCTGCCAATGCAAAGGTACATGGTTTGAATCCACCAGTTGCTGCCTGGGATAAAGATGAGCAGTCAACTCCCCTGAAACTGACTGCCTTTGAAAAGTCATTGGAGGGTCAGCTATGGGTTGGTTCTGACTCAACCATACACAGCAACAACGTGGCTCTACTTTTTGGATTTTTCCCTTCACTTTTGTTTTCCTTCTTAATTCTGATTTCCTTGTCAGGCTTTCAAACATGAGCCTTTTGAATACTAGCCTCTTGAATGTTAGCTAATATTAGAGACAAGAAAAGAACATTCTCAGATGATGAAAGCGTCTTGAGGGGAAGTGAGCATTTTGGATTAATGAGATAATGCGAGGTTATTCCAGGCAGTACAATTAGGATATGGAGAGGCCTGAAGGCAGATAGTAACAGATCACATTCAGGAGACTTCAGGGAGCCTGGCTGGCCTTAAACAACTGAGACCTTTCACTGAGTAATGAGAGACGAGGTTGAAGAAGCAACGCGAGGGCAGTGGGCGGGAGATGTTTAATGCTTCTCTGACGAGTGCACATTTCAAGCTAAGTCTCATGCTTAGAAGGGTGGAGGGGCAGAGCAGGGGAGGAAGACCCTGGATGAGATGGATTGACACTGTAACTGGGGTAATGGGAGTATGTGTGTCAGAGTCAGACCAGCTCAGGATAGAGCAGGGTTCAGAGATGTTGTACATACTGTTGCTAGGAGTTGAAGGTGACTCAATGGCACACAACAACAACAACAACAACAATAACATATGGTAGATGGTGGCAGTAGGCAGTTAGAAAGGAATGGAGAATCAGGACATGAGCTGATGAAGGAGAAATTAGGCGTTTCTATTTTGTAACATGAAAATTTTCCTTTGAATGGCTTATAATAACTAATTATTTTGGAGTTTGAGTTTAAAACCCAACGCATTGGTAAGTTTTATCTAACTGTTTCTCCCTGTCTTCATTCTTACTATGGACGACATCGTCATTTCTGGACTGGATTGTAACTGCCTCCCTCTTAGTTCTTTGCTTTCACTTTTATTTGTGCTCACTTAATTCTCCACTCTGCTACCACAAGGCCATTATAAATAACATTCCTTCACCTTTGTGCTTGAAATGTTCCAATGGCTCCCATCACACTTGGCAGAAAACTCAAGCTTCTACCCTAAAGGGTCACAAACGTGACCTCCCTCATACTCTCAATATTTCATCCTCTGCTGTGGGCACACAATCTCACTCCCTCTTGTTCTCGCTCTATTGACCTATCTTATTTTTCTTCCAATGTGACAAAATTAATCCCTTCCTCAAAGTCTTCTCACCCCCCTCAGTTACTCTTCTTGTAAATACCCACCAATATTTCTGTGTTCGTGTTACCATGAAGATATATGCTCAAATGTCACCACCTCCGAGGAACTTTCCCATCACCTTATCTAAGTCAATATATCCCCACCCTTTTGTCATTTCAGTCTCCATAGTCAGAAAGCCAGTAGCTAACAATTTGACTGCTAAAAGGTTGATGGTTTGAATGAAACACATTTTGTACAGTAGAAAGATGTAGACCCCTGATTCATAAGGATTCTAACCTTAAGAACCACATGGGGAAGTTCTCCTTCATCACACAGGAACTGAGTCAGAATTGACTTTATGGTCATAGGTTTTGGTAGGTGGGCAAGTCACATCTCTGTGTGTGTTTAACTGTTTCTTGTCCATCACCATAGTGAATATACATTCCTGCAATGGCCAGTATAAAGATTTTCTTGTGCATGGTTCCATGCTAAATGCTTGCTTAATGCAATTATTGAGAGAAACTAGGTATTCAATGGCAGTCCTAGAAGAAATACAATCAAAAAGACTCTTGGAAACAAAAATGGAAGACTTTGATGTACTTCTTTCATAGGTACATCTTCAGGAAAGACAAATTACCAGAAAAAAACAGGACAGTGAATACAAGGGGGTAAAAAGACAATGAGCTAGACTGACATGCTAACTGGGAAATAGACTCAGTTAGACTAACAGTCACGAAGACAGAGCCAGGTAGTGTTGTATAGAATGCTGCTAGTTCAGAGTCAACTTGACGGCACCCAAGAACAAGTTCTCAATATATACCTCAGGATAAATGCATAAAACAAAGCTAAGACTAGTCATTGATTGTAAGAGCCAGAAAGAGTATTATCTTCATATGCTCAATTTTGTACAGTCAGAAAAGATTTATGTACTGAGGAAGACCAATCAGATTTTGTTCAATCTGAGGCATTTCGAATGAAATGGAGACGACCGTGTTTTTATGGGAGTTAAGATGTTGGATGCTTTAGTGCCACAGAGGAGAGTTAAGTGGTCAGACAGTGAGGTGGGCTTGCAGTGAGAAAGTCGTGTAGATTGATACAAGTATAATGGGACAGGATGCTAATCCCTTTCATGGTTTTTTTCTTGGTACCAGGTTGCAGGGAAAGCAGACATAGGCACGAAACTCTTACCAGACAAGCAGGACCCCAAAGACTCCCTAGACTCTATGCTGGGGGACTTGCAGCAGGACCTGCAGGACCTGGGAATTGCGACGGTGCCCAAGGGCCATTGTGCTTCCTGCCGGAAACCAATTGTTGGAAAGGTGCAAGTAGCCAAGATGGTTCCACAGCTGTCTATGTCTCTGTGTTTGTCTGTCTCTGTCCTGCCAAGAATTGCTTTTTCTCCTCATATTAGTTGCTATGACAATGTAGTTCTTAGCTGCCGTCAAATCTATTCCCATCCCAAGTGACCCCACATGTGCGGAGTTCCAAGCCATAGGTTTTTTTGTTTTGTTTTGTTTTGTTTTTGTGTAATCCTAATGAAAACAGATTGCCATTTTGGTAATAGTTAATTACTGACCAGTATTAGTGCTTTGGCCCTAAGCTGCATGCTTTCCGAGTATTCTGTCTCGTTCAGTGCTCATTTCATCCCTTCAGGAGAGGTCTGTTATTGTCCCCATTATAACGATAAGGAAATTGAGGGTTCAGAGATCTTAACTTTCTTCTTAAAGACCTAGTAAGAGGTGGTGGTTGTTGTTGAATACATAGAACTGACCCATAACTGACCCTCCAGAGGGTTTTCAGAGACAGGAAATTGCACAGGAAGAGATTGCTATCTCAGAGAAGAGAGCTAGAGTCGAACTGCATACCTTTACACTGGCAGCACAATTCCTTACCACTAAGATGAGATTTGAACTATGAGTCTGGCTCCTGAGTTACAGCTCTTAAGCATTCTTCTATATTGTAAGCATTTTCTTAATGTCCCTTTCCCCAAATATTCCTGTCTCCATTGATGCCAATTTTATATGAACTCACTCGCCAAAACCATGATAAAATCGTATCCTTGTGTGAGACATGAGAAGAAGGTGTTCAGAATAGCAGCCGTCACTTGGCCTGCGTGCCTTTAGGAATGCCTCCAGTGCCCGACTGTAGCTCTTACTTTATCTATGCCATCATCGTCTGCACTGTCTGTACCACCCTTGGGGGAGAGAGGCAGGTAGCCTCCAGCCCCAGGCCTTTTAGTCAGCATGGCTGCTGGACAAAGTGGGCACCCTTTTGCCACCCATGCCTGGACGGCACACTGTCTGAGGCAGAACCCAGGCGTCGACCTCCTGCGGAGCCATCCCCCTGGAATTCAGTGGGCTCAGTGGCCTCTCGGGTTGTGTGACCTGTAGGCCCTCGAGCCTCCGGTTGTTTTCCCATGGCAGCCTTATTTCATCCTCAGGTGATCCATGCTCTCGGCCAAGCCTGGCACCCGGAGCACTTCATCTGTGCTCACTGCAAAGAGGAGATTGGCTCCCGTCCCTTCTTCGAGCGGAGCGGCGTGGCTTATTGCCAGCAAGACTACCACCACCTTTTCTCTCCACGCTGTGCTTACTGTGCTGCTCCCATCCTGGACGTAAGTAGAGGCCCTGCCCCAGCCTGCTCTCATGCAGCTTGGAAGCGCTCACTCAGAGCTGGTTCGTGCTGTACGGCCCTGCAGCATCCTGATACCGCTCCATGTACCCCTTTTCCAGAAAGTGCTGACGGCGATGAACCAGACCTGGCACCCAGAGCACTTCTTCTGCTCTCACTGTGGGGAGGTGTTTGGTGAGGAAGGTAGGACCTGCTGCCTCCCATAGTCCTGGGGCTGCTTACCAGGAGACGGGTGGAGTTCTTTTCTGCAGTCTGCTGCCCCATCTGGATGGGTATCCTGGTTCCTCCACTGTCATCAAAGTGTCTGTTTTAGTGCTAAATACCTTCTCTCCCCACCTTCCCCATCAACATTTGTCATTTGTGTTTAATGGAATGTTTTGAAGAGAAAGACAGGGCTCAAATACTACGTGAGAGCTAATAAGGAAAAATTAGCAGTCCTGAGCTTTTTCCTTTTTTCCTTCCTTCCTTCCTTCCT